AGAGACAAAATGGAAACAAAATACTTTTATCATTTTAAAAAGCAAATACCGACGAGAACTGGCGAAATCACTGGTTAGCAAAACACAAAACAACCGTCCATCTTGGACTTAAACATAAAGTTATATACTGGTACCAGCGTCCACCAACACGTAACAAATAAAATGGTCGTTTCCTTAGTATTTGTTGTTTAAGCTTCCATCGTAAACATTTCAATCAACAAAAATGTTTCACTGAACTAAAATTATTAACATTATTGCTGGATTGAAAATTAAAAGAATTGACTACATCAAAGTTCAAAAGGAAAATAAAATTGCGATATCATCACTGCTTACTTGAGTGGGAAGATCAAAATGTGTGTAGTGAACGGACATAATGAAAGAGCATGCCTTCAAATTGGCCAACATTTCAGAAGAGAACGAAGACAACTTAGCCTGTATTCTTGGAGAAATTGCGTTGGATATGTTTGATTTTAAAGAACAGATACACTCAATCTGAAGGACATACAAAATATAACCATGATCAACATAGAATGACCTGAAAAATGTCAATACTATAATATTAGGAATTACATGTGTGTGAAGTTAAGAATTTTAATGTTAAGATTGGTTGAGTATCACAATAATAAGAGCTCGCATTCTGAAATCAGATAGATATATTTGAATGCAGCTTCTCCTGAATAAGCATAAATCAATCTCTAATTTTGGTCAATAATTAAAACAAACACGATGATAAATAAATGCAATGATTTTTGATTGTTCTTTTTTATTATTTATTGTTTTTTTTTTTTTAAACTTTTGGCATATTCATTATGACATACACTTTTTGAAAGATATGCCCAACTGAGTTTTGACCAGGATATTGTGTGGTTTATTGCACATGGAAATGGGATAGTCTTACATCAGTCCATTCAGAGTATAGGAAGTATTGCCATGAATTTGTTTTTGAATTTTCCTTGGAGTTCGGTATTTTTAGCATGCAAGGGCATAGCATAATATAAAATAAGGAGATTTAGTATGCTTGTCAATGAGATAAATATTCAACGGAGTCCAAATAAATCAAATTTACATTTTGTAAGTAAATACTAGTATAGGTTATTTATTAAAACCAAAACAAATTTATAAGCCCATGTATACTAAATTTTGTAGCTTATCCCCCAAATCAAATATGATGAGGGATTTGATTTCAAAAATATTCTTATAAAATCTTTTAACAAAATAAAAGCAACATAATGGAAACTTATTAAAAAAACAAATTAAAACTCAGGATACGTGAACTGTTAAAAATAGCCAAGGACTTTGAATACCCAGTTATTAGTAAGAAGGGAAATGATAATGAGAACCAAGGATATAATTTAATATGGCTTTACCTGTATTTTTATTTAAATAGCTCTTTAGATAAAACAAGTAATACATGTATGATATTACATTTTTAATTTTTGTTATTTCAATTTTTGACATGCAAGGAATCCATTTTGTTATAGGAGGACAAAGTTGTTGCTAATGACATGCAAAAGGTGTTTGATTTACTTATTTCATATTGTCATGATTGATAGCTGACCTCTAGATTGTCAGATTTTGCACTGTACAATATTTTACATGTATGATATTACATTTTTAATTTTTGTTATTTCAATTTTTGACATGCAAGGCATCCATTTTGTTACTAGGAGGACAAAGTTGATGCTAATGACATGCAAAAGGTGTTTGATTTACCAATTTCATATTGTCATGATTGATCGCTGACTTCTTGAGTGTCAGATTTTGCACTGTACAATATTTTAATATAAAAAAACCACTATTTGTAGTTTGTTCGTTATGGTACCTAAGGACATTTTTTGGTTGCTAGGTAATATTTTCCTGGAAAATATGGGATCAGCTGACAACACTCTTATATAACAAACTTAAATAAATAATATATAACTACTCCATATATATGAATTTATACTTTAGTATTGAATAACATTGTTACAATTTGTTCTTTAGCTGTGTTGATATAGCGCTAACTATGTTTGCAATGGTTACACATTGACTTTTACAATTTTTAATTATTTTAACTTAATGTTGACTTTACTTTTTTAAATATATTTTTGTTGTTTTTTTTTAATTTTAAACGAAATATTTAATTACTGTGAATTACTTCCCTAATTATAAAATAAACATAGACCTTAATAAATGAACAATTGTCTAAATGGTGAAAATATTGATTGTTAAACAAACTAATTAGTGTTTTATAACAAAGTTTAATTATCTTTTATTTAAGCAAAACAAAGATATTCTTTAATCTTATGACAACAATACAGCTATGGTTTTCACATATCAATCTTTTTATGCAGGAAAATGTATGAAATAAGATGAAATAAAGAAAATATTCTAATGATTAATATATTCTTAATTAATCAAGAAATCTTAAATTTGGTTTAGTTAAAACTCCAACAATATGTTAAAGATGTAGTATGTGAAAAAAGTAATGACATGCAATGCCATGTAATGCATGAAATTACACAACTTTTTGCTAAAGTAATGCATTATATTACAATTACATGTAATGCACAAATTGCTGCATTACACATTACATGCAATTACTTGGAAAAATGTAATGCATTACCATGCATTACAATTACAAATTTGCATTACCCCATACCTGACATCAGGTATGTGTTGTTCTGGTAACCAAAAATATTTGAACTTGATTTCTGGCCTTATTTTCATTCTTTGTATATCATGGTCGCTGGAGACCATCGTTCACCAATATTTCTAGAATGAAATAGTATTTTATCAACAAAAGCGATTCTTCAAGAATATTTCATAGTTGAAAAAAATGCAGCACAATGGAAAAATACTGGATTTTATATCAGCAGATTTCATCAAAGTGAATTAGGGAAACAAGCTGTGAGTTTAATGTTGACCCTAGTTACTTGTTGCTTTGGAAAAATTAATGGCCTTGTTTTCATTGCAACCAGATCTCAATAGTCTGAACAGTTTTTTTTTTTCATTATAACATGTTATTGAGATTATTTAAGCATGTTTTTATCAAAATCTGGCAGACTGGCACTTTTGTACTGAATAGTGCATTACCCATTAAACAAGCAAGCAATCTGACCTTATCGTCGCCATTCTCTTTATATTTACTATTGACAATTATATTTTGAAACGTTCTTGTCAAATGAGCAACAAGGGCTGTTACATTTACATGAAAACATATACGAACTTGCCAAACTTTAAACGTACGTTTTTTTTAAAAAATTATTCAATAATGTACAAATATGAACGTGTTCCACACGACAGGTTTAATTTGTTATAGAAACTTTAATTTTGTTCTATACAAAAATGTATAGATTTTAAGAAGTCGTTTTGGTGTATTACACGTGTTATGGCGTACAAGATATGACAAGTAGGTACACAAACCTTTTTTTTTTTATTCAATTCAATAATGTACTTAAACATACTTGTCCGACACGACAGGTTTTATCTGTTATTCAAACATTAATTTTGTTCTCTACAAAAATATATAGATTCTAAAAGGTCGTTTTGGCATATCACACATGTTATGGCGTACAAGTTATGAAAAGTAGGTACACAAATCTGATGCCATTGTTAGTTGTATTGATTTTTAGCTAGATTGTCTTGAAGGAAAAACGAGTTCTTAAAAAATGTCGGTAATAAATCAGTAAGCTGGTCAGTAGTTTTCGTATTTCCTGATATCTGATATTCTTTTCGTTCGGTTCTTATCTTCGAATTGTGTGTAACAATGCTATATTTGATCTTTGATTGATATCTGTTTAATATGTTCACAACTGTTATAGAATCGGGCTTATATGGATATTTATATAAAATGCATTGAAGACTATGCTCCCTTCTAGATGCATTTTGGTTATTCTTGTCGTTTGGCTTCTGTCTCATTGATGTATACCAACCACTCCTTACAGTTATAATGATAAAATTGAAAAGTATTTGGGCTTCAAATGTGTAGTTGGAGGTTCTGAAATAATTGAATTGATACAACGGAGTCTTTGCTTTTGATTATATATGCTTACAGAAGGTTTGCATCAATTATAAATAAATGTAAATCAAGAAACAAAGCAGACTTATCTGCATCAATGGTATCCTTTATTTTAAGTTCAATTTCGATGGGAAAGATACATAGTTACCAAATTTTGCACTTTTTAGTGAGAGGACATCATCAATATAGCGGAACTTAAAGTTAAAATATATATTGCGTGCTTCTTAGAGTTACTGCATAAATCTATCCTATTTGAATAACGGAAAAACCGATAAAATGAGGAAGTTAGATCAATGGGAATTGTAATTGTTTGTTGAAAAAAAAGGTTAATAATATGTTGAGAGTGAATGAATCAATATCTTGATAATGTTGATTTTAAATTTTCTTTTAAAGTATGACAAACTCATCCTAGATACAGAGCCATCAACTGTGTACATGATACGTTCAATATTTGTCATTTCTATAGCTTACTAAGCGGTATGGAGTTTACTCACTGTTGAAGGCTGTTTAATGACATAAAGTAAATTTGTTCTGAGCCATTTAGTCATGTTAGTCTCGGTAAAGTGTTTTCTTATTGGCAATCATACCACATCTTCTTATTAGCATATAATAAAATGTTTTTTGTACTGAAAATGTATGTTATATTTGCATTATTGTTTTAACGTTAAAGCCCCGCTTACGATACTAAAAGGACTTTATGGTTTCTGGTCAGTGCGTCTGAACGTTTCGTATACATTTACAGTTTTTTTGTCAAAGTAGTTTACCATAAAGGTGAAGTCACATTTACTTTAAACTTAGTTCATATTTTCATTTTGATGCAAAATATTTTTAATTAAATGCCTAATTTTGGATTTGATCCAAACACTCAAATTGAAATCAAATACAGTATAATCTCTTGAACAAATCTTGTTCGAAATAACTACTTTTTTATTTTTTTTTTATTTTTTAGATATATAGTAGAATTAAGGTGTGTGCAAGAACATATATAGATAAAGGATAACAAAATGTATGAACAAGATGAAATGATACGTAATGACAGATATTTTGATACAAAAAATAACCTTCAATAGTGTCAGCCCTTTTTCAAAATGCGTCAGCACAGTGAGTTATTTATTGTTTAAAATGAGTACACTAATGCATCTAAGTGTGTCAGCACAGTGAGTTATTTATTGTTTTAAATGAGCACACAAATTTATACAAGTAATCACATACATTATCATATATAAGAAAAAAATCAAACCTTAGCAAGCGTGGTTGCGTATGTGTTCATCCCCATACATAAGTAGACATATACGGGTATCTTTGACATGCAAATACTGGCCGAACAATGACCATTAGATTCGTTGTCTAGAAATGTACTAGTACATATATATATTTTTAAGCCTTTTAAGGCTCCGAAAGTACAAATGTAAAAAAAAAAAAACAACAAAAACAACTCAAACGTAAAAAATAACGGCTTAATTTGTGTACAAAACAATAAACGAAAAACAGATAAATTAAAGAGCAAAAAACGAAAACCACTGAATAACAGGCTCCTGACTTTGGACAAGCACATACATAATGTTGCGGGGTTACACATGTTTGCTGGCGTTAAAACCTCCCCCTAGCCTAGAAAGTTGTGTAACAGTACAACATAAGCACAAAATGACAAAATCAGTTAAAAAGGAATAAACTCATCAGATCGAAACAAAGCACAAAACAAAATAAAAACAAAAACACAAAAGACACAACGAATAGACTTGAGAGTACTCGCAGTTAGTTACTGCATTCTTATCTGTTAATGTCATCGTTTCACAAATTTAGGACTGAATTTTAATTGTCTTTGCTGTAAAATTAGTCCGATATGTTTTACATTTGCTGGTTGGCTGTTCTCTATAGACTCTTATTAATATAAACAGCTGTTATTTGTGAGAGAGAAAAGAAAAACAAAAAATGATTATGTTGCTCCAAAATTATTTTTTTTTAATATGTAAACACATAAAATTTAGTTACATTGCAAACACTTACAAAAAAACACCCCACGCAAACTACATACCTTAAATGCTCGTTTAAGTATAACATGCTGTTTTACCCATGAACACATCTTATTGGTTGACAAAATGTCAATTTAAATCGCAGCTGTTATTTGTCAACTTTGTGTTACTTAAAATCGTATAAATAAGTAGAATCAACACAGTTGTTAAACCACTGGTACATTCAAGTCACCTTTTGAAGAGATATTCCAGCGGTCACTTGGAATTGTTTGAAAAATATGAAAGTTTTATTTCTAGCAGTAGTTTGCGCTGTTGTTTTCGCGGATGTACTGGATAATGTGCTAGGATCTAAAGGTAAAAACAATATTATCATGAAAAAAACTTTTCGAATAAAAAAGGAAAATAAACTAAAAATATGAGAATGTATAAAACAAAATAAACTTGTAACTCCTACTGAAGTTTTGTATGTTCATGTCAAAGTTAATCTGACAGAGATTGAATCGTATGCTTTCTTATTTTAAAGTCATAGATTGAAATTTAGATCTCAATACCATAAAGTTTACACTAAAGTATTTACCTTTGTTCCTCATGTGCCTTGTGCGTAGTCATAAATTGTTAAAGAATAAAATATTTTCGGCTATGAACATCATTGTTTCTCTTTGTGTAAGCATTGATATTCTAAAAGTATCAAACATCAGATGTAAGAAATCTTTATTTTAATGAATTTAAGTATATTTTCATATAAAGGAACTTGAATTCTGGTTCCATGACTATACTTAACCTTTTGCAAAAAGCTCAATGTTTTATTTCCAACATGGTTAAAAGAAATACGAAGTTACAAACAGAGATAGTCAAAATAAGCTAAAGTACAAACCTGACTAACTATGTAAGATTTAAATCCAGTGGATGTGAACTCATTCTTTTTTTCAAATAGGCAAAACATGGTTTATTTATTGGTCTCAATTACACACATTTTAAATTGATTTGAATAGTTTCGAGGACTCTTAGATCGGTATTTTGAGATGTGTGTCTGCTTCTTGTTGTTCCTTGTGACGATCTGATATCTCAAACCCTTTTCCTTTGTTTACATTTTGTATTTATGTATAAACACTTCACCATTTTATATTTAGATAAATGGGTTAGCTCTCATCGATATGTTTTACATCGCCAAATCCTCAATGTAACTCTGGAACTCTTTAATTCAGTGGCTTTCGTCGTTAGGTGTCTGCAATATATTCAATTTTCGTTTATTATTTATTCTAAATCACAATATTGGTTTTCAAGTTGAAAATATTTGACATTTTGTTATGCCAGTATTAGTGCTAGTCTTTGTTGAAGACTGTATGATGGCCTACAGTTGTTAACATCCTTATTGTGTACATGTGGTTTGTTCTCTGATTTAAAATTGTATACATTTCCTTATCTGAATATTTGCATAAGGTACGTAAATTGAACTAAATGAAATGATTGAAGAAAAAGAATATGATAAAATTGTTTTAGATATTGAGATGAAAATGATTTTAAACATACAAATGCAAAACTCAAGTGCCATTGAATTAGATAAGTGTGACGAAGAACATTAACTAAACTGAATGAAATAAATAACGAACATAATGGAGAGTATTTTTTAATGGAGATATGGAAACGATAACGATAGCTTTACAGATATAGAAGAATTAGCTTGTCTTTATGGACTACTGTATCAGTTAACATATTAAGCATCTTATGTCGATATTGACAATTTAAAAAGTTGAACTAGCAGAAACGTGCCAGGTATAGAATTTAGCTGTCAACATCAATTCAATACTAATGCCCAATGTTGTGTTTCATTCTACACATATAGTGACAGGTACGCACTTATATCGATGCTTCATCGTCGATGTCGTAAATATTGATACCATACAGTGTTTTAGACATACATATAACTCAAAATGTTGTATACAATTTTGACTTATTGAGCTATAATTAAAGATCGAAAAAAAATATGCATTTAGCTTTTTACCAGAAATATCACTGATTAAATTCTTTTAAGGTAAGTGAACTGTTGTATGGGAAACACATAAGATCGGCGAACACTTATTCGATTCGTCTATAAATCTTAAGATTTCAAATCCATAGGTTTTTTCTTTAAAACTTATATTTTGTTGATACTGGAATTTTTGGTTTATTTATTTAAAAACTAGTTTGGTCACAGACTAGGCTGGACCTCTCCCTTGCAACATACAAGTATCTCAGATACCTTTGTTGTCTGGCAGAGCCAAATAGATAAAGGACAGGGAACCAGTCTAGGTCACAATAATATTTTTTAAAGTTGTTGGTGAAAACAATACTACAAATGGGGAAAAAAGCGTAATGTCGTCGCGTTGTTATTATAACCTGTAAAGCACCGATTTTTGGCGTTGTTCACCGCCAACTAATTAGCAGGCATCTTTTTCAATTTGTTCACCAAGTAACACTATTTTTAATTTCAAAATCTTAATGTGATATCGATTAGTACAAGAGTCCTTGTCAAAAACGCGTGGTAAATTATTTCATAAAATTTCAAAAATGGTTTGTATACGAAAACCATTTGAAAAATATCCGTTAGATTGAGGCTGCTACTCTAGAAGTTGCTGTCAAATCTGGTATAGATATAAACAAAGTACATTTACATTCAAGTCATATGAAATGAGTTTTTGATGATTAGAATATCAAGGAATTCATTGAACTAATGAGTGCAAATATACCGAAAATAATTCCTCTGTTTAAGTTATATTATTGATAATATAAATGCATAGTCATAATTGGATATTGAACGACGAGAGACAAAAATATCAACAAGAGTGTAATGTTTTTGGGCATTCGGGACACCGTCTAGTAGTAAGATTTCCAGTTATCACTGACTCAAACCAGCTTTGTCAGACGGAAGGTTTTCATGTTAAGTTTGAAAATCAGCAGTCGAGTTAACACACCAATATAATAGAAATGGAAACGAGTAATGTGTGAAAGTAACATTAACCGGACCAAAGTGCAAAACACAGCACAAGGTTACCAGTTGGTCTTAAAAGAAAAGAGAAATCTTGCACTCGAAGGCAAGCTTCAGCTGGCCTCTCAACAATAATACTAGTTCAGCATAATGGACGATAAATTTAACTCCAAAACATACAAAAGAACCACAATGAAAACAACACACAACACCAACAAAGGCTACAGGTTCCTGACTTGGGACAGGCACAAAAATGTGGCGGGGTTCGAAATGTTTTGTTAGATATCAACCCTCTCTTATACATCTAGCCAATGTTAAATTAACAAACACATAGCAATACGCATATTTTTAAAGAAATCAGCGTTCTATGTAAGAATGGGAAACAAAAGAAGCTTAACAAAATGACAATGATCAACATAAACTAAGAACGGACTACTAATAGTTACTGTCGTACTAGCTTCCGACCTACATTAAACTGATCGAACGATAATGTCTTCATCAGATCACCAAACAATCAATGTCTTTCGTAGTATCATATTAATGGTAATCTGTTTTCCAGAAGAAGTAGAACCAAGAAAACAAGAACCACAAGGACCTAAAGGACCACCAGGAATGAAAGGTATTAATCAACATCCGGGTGTGTCAAAAGTAATCTGGTAAAAATGCATCGTATGTGTTTGTTAAAACCCATACTCATAATTCTCATTTTTTGTATCCGTGGCATTTAAAAAAAAATGTTTGAAAGATTGCAAACAACTCATCTTTTTAATTTCTAAAATAACATTTTGAATTTCTGTTCAATTTTAAAAGTCATGCATGTATTTGTTCCTGTATATTGTGAGATGCAAAGAATAAGGTACGATTAAATCATTTTAAGTCATAGAACTTTCAAAAAGTAATATTTTGATATCATAATCATGATGGCATTCCATATTCTCTATCTTAATGTGAGCTTGAACAAATCATTTAAATCTCACCTTTTAAAGAAATATTATAGCAGCAACTTGCAATCATTTGACAGATATGAATGAATCATTTCAAGCAGTAGTTTGCGCTGCTGTTCTAGCGGATGTAATTGATAATGTGCTAGGATCTGAACGTAAAAAAACATATTTATCATGAAAAAAAATTTTCAAATAAAAAAGGAAAATAAACTAAAAAATATAAGAATAAAAAAAAAAATCTTGAAACTCCTACTGAATTTTTGTATGTTCCATTTCACAGTTATATCAACACCTGACAAAAATTGAATCGTATGCATGCTTATTTGAAAGTCATATATTTAAATTTAGATCTCAATAACATGAAGTTTACACTATAGTTTTCAACTTTGTTCCTTGTGCGTAGTTATACATTGTTGAAGAATAAAAATATGTTCGACTATGAAAGTCATTCTTTTTCTTAGTTTAAGCATTGCTATTTCAAAAGTTGCAACCATCAGATGAAAGAAATTTTTATTCAAATGAATTTCAGTATTTTCCATATGAAGGAACTTAAATTTTGGGTTCCAATTTCCATGATTATACTTAACCTTTTGCAAAAATCTTAATGTTTTATTTCAATAGAGCATAAGACAGTTTAGCTTATTCTATATATTGTTTTATATTTCAAACGTACGGCCCCATTTCGACTTTGGGCATACAAGACACCCTCTAGTACAATTTCCAGTCTTCACTGATCCAAACCAGCTGTGTAAGACGGGAGATGTCACTGCGAAGGATTTTCATCATGTTAAGTTTGCAAATCAGCTGTCGAGTTAACACATCGATAGAATAGAAAATGGAAACGGCGAATGTGTGAAAGAAACAACATCCCGACCAAAGTGCAAAAACAGCGCAAGGCCACCAGTGGGCCTTTAAAGAAATGAGAAATCTTGCAAAAAAACAAACACACACCATAACGCACAGTTAAACTCAGTTTTACGGAAATTAGAATTTTTTGTAAGACGAAAGTAATCAAACATTAAAAAAAGACTACTAGCACTACTGTCGTGCTAGGTTCTGACCTCAATCAAAATGATTGTACGATTATGTCTTCATCATATCAATAAAAAATCAATGTCTTTCGTAGTATTATATTGATGGCAATCTGTTTTCCAGGAAGACAAGGACCACCAGGACCTAGAGGACAAAGAGGACCTAAAGGAATGCAGGGTATGTATCAATATCCGTGTGCGTCAAAAGCAATCTGGTCAAAATGCATCGTATGTGCTTGCATTAACACATACAAATCATTCGCATTATTTGTATTCGCAACATTTCAAAATTTTTGAAAGATTGCAAACAACTCATCTTTTTCATTTCTTAAATAACATTTATGCATATCTGTTTGATTTTAAAGTCATGTGTATATGTCTTCTTTTATATTGTGAGAAACAACGAATAAGGTACGATTCAAACACTGAAGTCACAGAACTTTCAAAAAGAAATATCTGTATATCGTAATAATGATGGCATTTCATATTCTCTATCTTAATGTGTGATTGAACAAATCACATAAAATCTCGCCTTTTAAAAAGATATTGCAGCGGCCACTTGCAATTGATCAACAAATATAAATGCATCATTTCAAGCAATAGATTGGACTGCTGTTTTAGCGGATGCACTGAATAAGTTGCTAGGATCTGGATGTTAAAAAGCATTATTATCATGAAAATAACTTTTCCAATAAAAAAGGAAAAAAAGACTAAAAAAATATTAGAATAAAAAAAAATAAATCTTCTAACTCCTACTGAATTTTTGTATGTTCCATGTCAAAGTTCTGTCAAAATCTGACAGAAATAGAACCGTATGCATGCTTATTTTAAAGTTTTGATTGAAATTAAGATCCCAATGACATAAAGTTTATACTAAAGCATTTACCTTTGTTCCTTGTGCGTAGTTATAAATTGTTAAAGAATAACATATTTTGGCCTGTAAATATCTTTTTTTTTCTTATTGTTAAGCATTGTTATTCTAAAAGTTGCATACATCAGATGTATGTAATCTTTATTTAAATGAATATAGGTATTTTCATCTGTAGGGACTTTAATTTCTGGTTCCAGTTTTTATGACTGTAGTTAATTTTTTGGAAAAATTCCAATAAGTCAATACCTTTATTTCAGAAAAATAAGACACATTTAAGACGGAAATTGACGTCAAAAGTGCAAAAACAACACAAGGCGACCATTTGGTCTTTAAAAAATTGAGATATTTTCCTATAAACAAACAAACTGCAAAACGCACAGTAAAACTCAGTTTTATAGAAATCAGAGTCCTACTTAAGAATGGGAAACGGAAGGAACTGAGGAAAATGACAATTATCAACATAAATTGTTAAAGGAATACTAGCAGTTACTGTCGTGCTAGCTCCAGACTTCAATCAAACTGCTAGAACGATTACGTCTCCGTTATATCACTAAAAAAATCAATGTCTTTCGTAGTATTATATTGCTTGCAATCTGTTTTTTAGGAAATAAAGGATCATCAGGACCTAGAGGACCCAAAGGACCTAATGGAATGCATGGTATGTATCAACATCCGTATGTGTCAAAAGGAATCTGGTAACAATGCATCGTTTGTGCTTGCTTTAACACATACAAATCATTCGCATTGATTGTATTCGCAGCATCTCAAAATCTTTGAAAGATTGCTAACAACTCATCTTTTTAATTTTTTAAATAATGTGTTTGCATATCTGTTCAATTTTATAGTCATGTATATATTTGTTCTTGTATATTGAGAGAAACAAAGAATAAAGTACGATTCAAACACTTTAAGTCACAGAACTTTCAAAAAGAAATATTTTGATATCGTAATAATGATGGCATTCCATATTCTCTATCTTAATGTGTGATTGAACAAATCACATAAATCTCACCTTTTAAAGAGATATTCCAGCGGTCACTTGCAATTGATCAACAAATATGAATGTATCATTTCTAGCAAAAGATTGGGCTGCTGTTTTAGCGGATGAACCGAATAAGTTGCTAAGATCTCGATGTTAAAAAGCATTATTATCATGAAAAAACTTTTTAAATAAAAAAGGAAAATACTAGTAGACTAAAAAATAAAAGAATAAAAAAAAATATATCTTTTAACTCCTACTGAAGTTTTGTATGTTCCATGTCAAAGTTATATCAAAATCTGAATGGCACCGTATTCATGCGTATTCTAAAATCATAGATTGAAATAAGGATCTAAATAACATAAAGTTTACACTTAAGTATTTAATTTGTTCCTTGTGCGTAGTTATAAATTGTTGAAGAATAAAAATATGTTCGACTATGAAAATCATTCTTTTTCATAGTGTTAAGCATTATTATTCTAAAAGTTGCAAACATCAGACGGACGAAAGCTTTATTTCAATGAATTTAAGTATTTTTCATCTTAAGAAACTGGAATGTGATTCCAATTTCCATGATTTAACCTTTTGCAAAAAGCTCAATGTTTTATTTTAAACATGGTAAACAATAAAACAAAGTAAATACCTTAATTAAAAAAAGAAATCGCTGTCAACAGATGTAATCTTCAATAGAGCATACAACAGTTTTATTTATTCCATGTGTTTGTTTTTTTTTATATTTTAAACGTAAGGCCCCATTTCGACTTTGGGAATTCAACACACCCTTTAGTAAGATTTCCCGTCATCACTGACTCAATCCAGCTTTGTCAGATGGGAGATGTCACTCCAAAGGACTTTTATGTTAAATTTGCAAATCAACAGGCGAGTTAACACACCAATAGAATAGAAAATGGAAACGGGGAATGTGTGAGAGAAACAGCAATCCGACGAAAGTGCAAAACCTGTACAAGACCACCAGTTGGTATTTAAAGAAGTGAGAAAACTTGCAATAAAAAAGACAGCAATACGCACAGTAAAACATAATCTTAAAGAAATCAGAGTCATTTGTAAGAATTGTAAACAAGAGAAAGTAAGCAAAATGACAATCATGAACATAAATTAACAAAGGAATACCAGCAGTTACTGTCGGGCTAGCTCCAGACCTCAATTAAACTAATTGAATGATTACGTCTTCATCAAAAGACCAAAAACAATGTCTTTCGTAGTATTATATTAATGGCAATCTGTTTTCCAGGAGCGAAAGGACCACCAGGACCTAGAGGACCCAAAGGACCCAAAGGAATGCATGGTATGTATCAACATTCGTGTGTGTCAAAAGCAGTCAGGTAAAAATGCATCATATGTACCTGCATTAACTCATAGAAATCATTCGCGTTGTTTGTATTCGCAGCATAACATGTTTGTATATCAGTTCAATGTTAAAGACATGTATATGTATGTCTTGGATATTGTGTAAAACAAGAATAAGGTACGATTAAAACACTTTAAGTCATAGAACTTTCAAAAAGAAATATTTGATATCATAACATTGATTCCATATTCTCAATCTTTAAGTTATGGTTTGAACAAATCACTTAAAATCTCACTTTTAAAGAGATATTCTAGCGGCCACTTGCACTTGTTCGCAAAAAAAATATGTATCAATTCTAGGAGTTTGCGCACCTTTTCTAGCGGAGTACTGGATAATGTGCTAGGATCTGGAGGTAAAACAAAACATTATTATGATGAAAAACCTTTTGAATAAATAGGAAAATAGACTAAAAAATATAACAATAAATTTTTATATGTTCCATGTCACAGTTGCATCAAATCTTTGTAAAAAATGGAATTGTATGCACGCTTATCTTAAAGTCAGAGATTGAAGTTATGATCTCAATAACATAAATTTTACACTAAAGTATTTACTTTTGTCCCTTGTACGTAGTTATAAATTGTTAAAGAATAAGAATATTTTCGACTGTCAACATTGTCCTTCATGTTTAGTGTTTAGCATTGTAATTCTAAAAGTTGTAAACATCAGATATAAATCATATTTATTTTAATGAATTTAAGTATTTTTCATATAAAGGAACTTGAGGTTTTGGTTCCAATTTCTATGACTATACTTAACGTTTCTGCAAAAAGCTCTATGTTATATTTCTAACAAGGTTAACATCAAAACGAAGTCGAAACCTTAATTTAAAAACAAATATTTTAAAAGAAATTTGCCGTCAACATGTTATCTTCAATAGAGCATAAGACAGTTCAGTTTATTCCAAAGGTTTGTTTTATATTTTAAACGTACGGCCCATTTCGAATTCGGGCATACAAGACACCCTTTATTAAGATTTCCTGTCATCATTGACTCAATCCAGCTTTGTCAGACGGGAGATGTCACTCCAAAGGACTTCATGTTAAGTTTGCAAATAAACAGTCGAGTTAACACATCAATAGAATAGAAAATGGAAACGAGGGATGTGTGAAAGAAACAGCAACCCGATCAAACTACAAAAACAGCGCAAGGCCAATAGTGGGTATTTAAAGAAGTGAGACAACTTGCAATAAAAAATCACAGGAATACGCACATTAAAACATAGTTTTAAAGAAACCAGAGTCATATGTAAGAATGTGAAACAGAAGAAACTACCCAAAATAGCAATCATCAACATAAAGTAACAAAGGACTACTAGCAGTTCCTGTCTTGCTAGATCCAGACCTCAATTAAACTGATCGAACGATTATGTCTTCATCATATCACCAAACAATAAATGTCTTTCGTATTAGTATATTGATGGCAATCTGTTTTCCAGGAAATAAAGGACAACCAGGACCTAGAGGACCTAAAGGACTTAAAGGAATGTATGGTATGTATCAACATCCTTGTGTGTCAAAAGCAATCTGGTAAAAATGCATCGAAAGTGCTTGTTTTAGCTCATTCAAATCATTCTCATTGTCTGTATTCGCAGCATTTCAAAATCTATGAAAGATTGCAAACAACTCATCTTTTTAATTTCTTAAATAACATGTTTGCATATCAATTCAATGTTAAAGCCATGTATATATGTCTTGGATATTGTGAGAAACAAAAATATTCTCGACTATGAAAATCTTTCTTTTTCTTAGTGTTAAACATTATTATTTTTAAATTTGCAAACATCATATATAAAAAATCTTTAGATAAATGAATTTGATTTTTTTTTCATATAAGGAATTTGAATTTTTGTTTCAAATTGGTATGACTATACTTAACCTTTTGTTAAAAGCTCAATGTTTCATTTCCAACATGGTAAACAAAACAAAGTCAATACCATAATAAAAAAAAATATTTAAGA